GAGCAGCTTTCCTTCCTCATTTTCCAGAGAGTGAAACATTGAACTAGTCACTGGATTAGAACTAGGATTCCACAACAGTTAAGGGTTGATATAAATGTCTTCATTAAATGTGTGCAAAAATGAAAATGTTGCCAAAATTCCTGCCAAATCAGTAGATTAAAGCATGTTTCTCTTTTTTTCCCCCAAGAGCCTCATGTAAGATCTTACATCAAGCTGTTAGTGATGAGTGGAATGCTGATCTGCTGTGGGTAGGAGGGCTCTACAGAGGGACCTGGACAGGCTGGATCCATGGGCCAAGGTCAGTTGTATGAGATTCAACAAGGCCAAGTGCTGGGTCCTGCACTTGGGTCCCAACAACCCCATGCAGCACTGCAGGTGAGGGCAGAGTGGCAGGAAAGCTGCCCAGTGGAAAAGGACCTGGAATCAAAATTTCTTCACCAGAAGGGTTTGTCAAGCATTGGAACAGGATGCCCAAGGAAGTGGTTGAGTCACCATCCCCGGATGAAAGACATGTAGATGTGGCACTTGGGGACATAGTTTAGGGGTGGACTTGGCAGAGCTGCATAACAGTTGGATTTGACAATCTTAAAGGTGTTTTCCAACCTTACAGATTTCATGATTCCAAGATCCATAGCTTTATTTGTATATCAGCTTTAAAACATACAGAAAATGTGTATATTTCTTTTTGGTTTAGATTAACATTTTAGGTGTATTTCTGCTCTAAGCATCTGAGCCAAGTAGCTGTGAACACTGGGTGTTTTGCTTTGCAAGAATTGCCTTTCTCAAACAAACAAAAAAATCACACAGGAGTTCCATGCACTTGAAAATGCTCAGTAAGAGATCCTGCAAGATTAACAGCTCAATCAGAAGGGACTGAATCTAATTACAGTTACAGAATGAAAAGATTTTTCTTCCTAATACTTCTTATCTCTGGAAAGCTCTATCTTTGTAAATTTTCATGGACTGAGAAGCACTCGTATCTGCTGCAGAAACTAATCCCTTCCATAAGGAATACTGTGTCCCAAAGAACTGTAGCCACAATAATGAACTGATCAATTCAGTTTTCCCCTGTTTATGAAAACTGCTCCTTTGACTTACAGGATTAAAGAATCGCTGAAAAATTACCTCTCAAACTATTTAAGACTTCAAAAGAAGAAAACACTGGGATAGGTTCAGAATTGGACAGGGCACACACACAGGGCAGAAAGAGCTGCCAATGGTCTTACTAGTTTGCCCAACAACACAGGCACACACAGGGCAGAAAGAGCTGCCAGTGGTCTTACTAGTTTGCCCAACAACACAGACCTGAGGCTTTTATGTGGTCACTGGCTGTAGGACCTGACGCTTTTATGTGGCCCTGAAAAGTAGAAGTTATCAATTGCAACCTCACACTGCAGGCATTCAGCAATCACTCATCCCCAGTGATCTGCCACCTAGAAAGACAATACAGACAAACTGTATCTTCCTTAGAGTGCTATTTCACCCGTTTGCTTATTCCATGGAAATTAGTCTCCAGTTACCTTTGTAAGAAATAGGAATTCAAAAAACAGATAATGAAATTACATAGACTGGAGAAAATAAAACCAACACAATCAAGGATGAATATGGGCAACTCCAGATGAAGGAAAGAAACCATTACTTTTCATCATCTGAAGACAGGAAAAGATTTTTGTCTAACAGTTGTATCTATGAACTATGTGTTCCAGTTATGAGGAATAAGACCAGCCTGAAATCTATTTCCAGTGAAGCCTCTCTTCACAGAAAGGTACTGTCAATATTTTCCATTCATCCCACCTTCCCAAGAATAGTTAACAGAATTCAAAGCTCCTGTGTTGAACTCATACTACTTCCAGGGCCAAAGCCTTACTTAATGATTTATTATCATAAAAGTTAATTCCTGAAACAAACAAAATCAATCCACCCATTCACCCCCACTAAACCCCAAACAAAAGCCCTGTGGGAGGCTCTGAGTCCACAGAGTTCTAAGACAGGAGTTAGTCTTAACTGTCAATGCCACTGCCAGGGAACAGATCAGATCAGACTGACACTACCACAGACACACATGGCTTAGACTGAGGTGAAGGTTGAAAAGACAGTAAAATCAAACATCTGCAAGCAACTAATGTAGTATTTTCCTTCTTATTTTCATGCAAAATCCTGGAAGGCATCATATTAAAATTTCCTAGTCACACACTGAATTATACACAGCTGAAGAAGAAGCTGCTTCATCCATTTACACCAATGCCATGACACAGACTATACACACGTTGGGGAGGCCTAAATCTGCACTTCTCAAACCACCAGAGTGTCAATGTACTTCAATCCACACCTATGTAACACAAAGGTCATTTGTTAACATCTTACTTTAGACACTTTTTAAATGCCTATATCTGCTTCATATGTGTGAATTCAAAATTTTTTTTTAATGTTTTGAATCAACATTTTCAACCCCCTGCCATTACTGTTCCATTTTCCAGCAATGGTCAGAAGAGAAGCATTTGTTGATAAGCTTCCTCTGATCCATCTTTCAGGTATTATGTTTCTGGGAAAGAATCATGTTATATTGGTAACATTTATTAATATGACATTGAAGGTAGATATATCTAGAGCAGTGTTAAAATGCAAAGAAAGGTGTGGGGAGAAAGAACAATGCCAGGCAATCCAAAATTTTAGGAAGGCCCTTGCAAATGGTGTTGAGTGAAACTTTTTATCTCCCTTCATTCGTTGTGATGATGACATTCATTTATCTCTACTCTGGGCTGTGCTACTTGTTTACTTTTGTGCTATTCCATTTTCTGCTGCAGCTCTAGACCAATCCACCTTCAGGGCTTCTCTCAGCATTCTAGCCACATGGTCCCTTCTAAGAAATTTTTGAATATTCTCCCAGTCCTGATGAGGTGTTCTCTATGCATAAACTACATTGCACTTTTTTTTCCTTCAGCTAGCCAAAACGAGAAAAAAGGAAATTACAAATAAGCATACATGGTAGATGTTCTTAAAGTCTATGATCAGTGAAATTAAAAAGCCTTTCATTCATCAAGGAGAAAATGAAGAGTCAACAAGGAAAGATGCACAGAAAAGAATGATTTGCTATGGCTGATGCAGTTCAAAAAGCGAATGCATATGAAACTACTTCTATTCTTAAATATATTCTATGACCTATGATACTGATCAGATGATCCTGCCTCTCTAATCAGCCATCATGAGGTCACACCTGGAGTACTGTGTCCAGTTCTGGGCTCCTCAGGACAAGAAGGACATGGAGCTCCTGGAATAAGTCCAGTGAAGAGCAATGAAGATGATTAAGGGACTGGAACACCTCACTGATGGGGAAAGGCTGAGGAGTTGGGGCTGTTCAGTCTCGAGAAAGAGACGACTGAGAGGAATCTCATTAATGTATTCAAGTACATGAATGGGAAGTGCCAAGATGATGGATCAGACTCTTCTCAGTGGTGGAAGCCAATAAAACAAGAGGTAACAGGCAAAAACTGATACAGCAAGTTTCACATGAATTCAAGGAAGAGCTTATTTACTGTGCAAGTGACTGTGCACTGAATAGGTTGCCCAGAGAGGTTGTGGATTCTCTCTCACTAGAGGAATTCAAGAACCATCTGGACACCATCATGAGCCATGTGCTCTAGGGTGGCCCTGCTGGAGTAGGGAGGTTGGACCAGGTGACCCACTGTGGTCCCTTCCAACCTAACTGATTCTGTGATTGGAAGCTCTCCTGCATCCAATGTAGTCAGCTATAGAATAAAACCCTTTTCAATAATCTGAAATGGAAGTGGTTGTACATGTATTTTTATGTTTTTTACTTTCCTAAAGCCACCCAGGTGAGACCTAGTTTTACAGGTAATCTCTGTGACTTTATCCATAGCCATTCTGAGATGCACAGGAGTGCCACAGTCACATCAATGGCATATTAACTTTGAAACCTGCTAATTGTTCAGATGTCAACATTCGATGGGATTTTCAAAACTGCTTGGGCAATTAAGCAATCCTATGATTCCTAAGGGGCCCACTGAAAACCCAAGGCACTGTCAGCTGCTTTAATGCTGACCACCTTAACAGCAACAACCAACCAACATACCTATTCAGCAATTCTAAACTTCTTCTCACTAAGAAAAACCTAGCCTAAATTCTATCCTATCTTTCTTTTACCTTAGATCTCAATATAGAAAACATCACTTGTGAATTTATGCTAGCAATACTTTTCTGAGGTAGGGAAGAGCTGTTATTTCCAGTTTACATGTCACATCAATCCAGTTAGAGAAGGATATGAGAGCTCCATGTTAGCCCTCAGTAACAGGACGATACGATTGTAGCTTGTTAATGAAAAATGTATCTGTGACTTGTCCAGAACATAAAAGTGCCATTTCAGCATATGTTCTTTTTAACAGAAAATAAGCACTGATTGTGTTCTTTGCATCCAGAAAGGATCCTCCGTTTTTCAATTTAAATGAAGCAATTAACAGGTTTTGACCTGCCACACCACAACATGCAGACTCGAGGCAGCTTGCTTCAGAGCTGCTGCTTGTTGAACATTACAAACAGCCATTCAGAAAACCACTTACACACAAGACAGACATAGAAACAAGGCAGTTGAGGGGTACAGACCAAACACTGCTTCCCTTATTCCAAAGGAACACCAAGTTTTTGTAGCACAATAAATGTAAGATGCCCGCAAGTACAAAAAAGTATAAATATCAGAGGAATACTGTGCTACAGAGCATAAACACACTGGTTAAAAAGTCTTCTCCAAACAAATTCTGCTGCCTTAGTCAAAATGATAACTTTCTGTCATGCTAAATATGTCCAGTTTTCAAGACATGTTAACTCCAGAAGGGAAAAATTCCTTCTTATCTTCAGTTATTTTTGCCCTAAATAGTTAAAGCAAATATATTATCTGGAAACTAGCATCAAAGCAATCCTGTACAAATCTCTAATTTATTAATAAAGCAGGCAAAACTGAAAAGCATTTAACAAGTGGCTCTCCTTACCTTCAGCACAGCAATGAATGGTATAAAATTAGCTCTCTGAAGACCATTTTTATAGAGATCTGAAAGAAAGGAAATCAGTACCATTTTGCTACTTAGTCTCATTAACAATGTCAGCTTGTCTTCTAGTCTAGCAAATAAAACTCGGTGTTTCTAGAGACAGGAGGAGGAACAAAAGGTGGAAAAAGAGAGGTGAAATTGATTTCTTTTACTGTATGAAAATTCAATACATTCTTAAGGAAGAAAGGAACATCCTTAGGAAGTCTGAAAAAGGCAGGGAGTGAAAAATGACTTGTATCTCCAATGACATACAACTGGTTCTAGCAGAAGAAACAAGACCAGCATCTGTTTTAAAGCGAGGATACAGAAAGGATTTGCAGTGCTGGGTATACACTGGTGTAGGCCAAACTATGCAACTGCTAAACCCCCAGGTCACTTAGTCTGTTCAGCCTGGAGAAGAGGAGACTGAGGGAAGACCTCATTGCTGTATACAACTGCCTCACAGAAAGAAGTGGAGAGGCAGCACTGACATCTCTCTGGCAACCAGTGGCAGGACCAGAGGGAATGGTCTGAAGTTGCATCAGGGAAGGTTTAGGCTGGAGAACAGAAAAAGGTTCTTCACCCAGAGAGTGTTTGGGCACTGGAACATCTCCCCAGGGAAGCTGTCACAGCACCAAGCCTGACAATTCAAGAGGTGTTTGGCCAATACTCTCAGGCACATGGTGTGATTCTTGGGGATGTCCTGTGCAGGGCCTGGAGTTGGACTAGATGATCCTCAAGGGTCTCTTCCAACTCTGATTATTCTGCGCTATCTGGCAGAGGGCAAAACCCCAATATAAACTAAAAATACACTATTTGAGTTCCAAAGTCAGCATCATTCTTGTTCAGTGTACTGTGGGACACTTCATTTTCTAGCAATTCTGCCAGGTACACCCCCTTTTCCAGAACAGAATAAGGGTTGCCCTTGAGGTAAAAAACAATTAATTAATATGCAAACTTAGAAAAATTTGCTAAAAATACAACTGAATTTTAAAAAATAGGATGTTATACAACAAAATGCAGATCTGCACTCAGAGAAAATACAAATCAACAAAAACAAACTGCAAAGCAGCATTTCTTATTTTATTTATCTATATATATTTATACAACAAACTTCTCTTCAGGGGAAATTAGCCAACTGCCCAAGATGTTCACAACAGAGTGACCTGTTCTTTGAAAATGTAATCACTTGAACTGCATGTATGATGGGTGCTCTGTTTCATTAATATTAGGAAGCCTTATAAAAAGGCAGTACAGTACCTGTGACTGATGGGAGCAATGAAAAAGAAAATATCGACACCTGGCAGAAATACCACCAAAATTCCCCATAAAGACCACGTCAGGTTATGAATATCCTCTGTATTCCCCACAATGCTACAACTAGGCTAAAGTTATTATGCTTTACCAACACCTCATGGTGGACAGGAGATGCAGCATATGGGACACCAACAGGACACCTACAGAATGGTTTTCACAGCATTGGATATGTACACAGAAACATTTAGGAAAATTATCAGTGAAGAGGATTCCACATCCTAATTACCACCAAAGTTGTAGGAAGCCATATATGGTGCTCATTCACAACCCTGCAAATTAGGATAGCTATACATTTGTTGAAAATATATAGAAATCAACTGTAGATTTACTCACAAATATTAGTGAACACGAAACAGTACTACTAGACAGCTACTCCTGTTAGTTTTTCTAGTTAATACGGCTGTAAGTTTTGTATTGTGTCTCTGTTCTGTGAGGATGAGAAAAATGAGCAGCAATTTTGGTGAAGAAATGGAGCCAAGATTCTTCAAATACTGCACTTCAGTTATTTCCTCTCATATTCCCCTGGGGTAGGAATTCAACACAGTCAAGTGTATCACTAATGTTCAGCAGCTGGGTACATCTATCTCTAAATGAAAAAGCCACTTTTCCCCTTTGTATTCGCAGGAAACAAACCTCTCCATTCAGTCTTAAACCTCAGTGTGGCACACTGCACTGACCCAACTCTCCTGCAGGAGGATTTCAGATGCACGCCGTGAGCATGCAGGAATGGTGACAGGGAAAGACAGAGGCATTGACCAACATCTGGACAGTAACATAGCTCAGTTCTGGAGATGCTGTTCTTGACATTCTCTGGGGTAGCAGGAACAAGTGGATGACTTTTGGGTTGATACAGTGACTTAATATACATTAAATACAATGATAATGGTCACAAAATGACATCTCCATTTAAGATCATAGAATCATAGGATTTTAGAGGTTGGAATGGACCTTAGAGATCATTTAGTCCCAACTCCCTGCCCTGGGCAGGGACACATCCCCACTAGACCAGGCTGTCCAAGGTTTCATCCAACCTGGCTTTGAACACTGCCAGGGTTGGGGCATCTACTCCCCTCCTGGGCAACCTGTGCCAGTGTCTCACCACCTGCACAGGGAAAAGAAAAACTTTAATATCTAACCTAAATTTCCTCTCTTTCAATTTGTACCCATGTTGGATACAATCCCCAAGTTATGATAAAAATTTCTCCTGAACTTTAAAAAGTCATGCTTCAAAAAACAGCAAGATGGGTCTCAACTGAGTAAGGCACTTCCACCCAGTGTATCTGTAGTTAACCCAGCTACAGTAATGATGATTTCATCTTGTTTGCTCAAAGAAAATACACCAATGGAAAATTATTTCCTCCTCTAGTGTTGGATACAATCCCCAAGTTATGATAAAAATTTCTCCTGAACTTTAAAAAGTCATGCTTCAAAAAACAGCAAGATGGGTCTCAACTGAGTAAGGCACTTCCACCCAGTGTATCTGTAGTTAACCCAGCTACAGTAATGATGATTTCATCTTGTTTGCTCAAAGAAAATACACCAATGGAAAATTATTTCCTCCTCTAGTAATAACATTTGGGTGTGTTTTTCCTTTGTTTATTGGTTTATGGGTTTTTTTGCTAAGATAAAGTGCATTCTATGTGTTTAGTGATTGTCTTTTACTCAATTTGGGTAGAAAAATTAACTGGTAGTTACAATTAATATAGTAAATCATCAGTATTGTTTTGCAAACATTTGAAATTAATCATTCTAAAATGTCATGAAAGCTGCATAGGAATCATGTATTATGCTAACTGCTAATGCCACACTGTACTAACATTTTTCTCCTTTACAAACAATTACAATTATTGCTTGGTTAAAACCCATACAGATTCGGGGACTGTGTAGAAGGATCTACATAACTAGTCAGTAGTAGTGACTAGTCACTCTAAAAAAGTGTTAGAAATGGAAACAACTCTCCACCTAAGTATTACCAGTGACCTCAAACCAGGCTATAGGAATGGCATCTTAATAAGGGCTTCTCTTTCGAGCTGGTGGATCAAGTTTGCAAGTTTCTGAGTTAGAAACTGGGAAGGAAGATACTCTCACTTCCCCTCTCTTCTGCAAAATATGACTATCCTGGACTACACCCAAAGCAGACAAAGTATTTCATTCCTTCTCAACTTCCCTGTCCCCAGACACCCTCCCACTGGTTTGAATAGAGGAGAGGAGATCAGAAAACACAGAAGGTTTTGAGAGTGGTGGGGCAAGTAATACCTTGTGTTTGAGAGAAAGGAGGAGTAAGATTTAGTGTAAAACCTTTCTTCCTTAGCAACAAGAAAAAACAGGGTACAAACTGGAATATCTCCAGTCCTTACAACCAGAGAGTTTATTAGTATTAAATACTCCAGGATTTAAACACAATTATTTTGCAGGATACTGAGATTCATTATATTTGGATAACGATACAATCATAGAATCATGAAGGCTGGAGGACACCTCTGAGATCATCAAGTCCAACCATTAACCTGCCACTCTGCTGGAACCTCTAAACCCTAAACCATATCCTCCAGTGTCAGATCCAGACACCTCTTAAACACTTCCAGGGATGGTGACTCCACCACCTCCCTGGGCAACCTGTTCCAGTGCCTGAACACCCTAACAGTGACAAAATTTCTCCTAACATCTGATTTGAATCTTCCCTGTCTCAGTTTATGACTGTCCCCTCTAAAACAATACCAAATGCTAGTAGCATGTTTGTTTTTACCTTCTGGCGGCCTGTTAGATGTTGCCACAACGACAACCCCATTTTGGAAGAGATTTTCAAAAAGCTGCTTGAGAATCATGGCATCAGCAATGTCAGTGACCTGTGGAAGACAACACATTTGTTTTATCTTGCTTTCAGCTTCTGCTGCAATAGATCTGCAAGTGGCTTTGTAGCTAGGGAAAATGCTTGTTAGTGAAAGCCATGGGGAAAGATTCTAATTATTGCTTGGTGAGAAAAAAATAAAAGAGATAATTAATAAGCAGTGAATGTAGCACAGTCTTTCAAAACTTGCCCACTCTTTATTGCAGAACTCCACCATTGCTTTACCAATTGCTAAATGATTCCGTGTTAACTTCCATTATAAAACTACAGGTGGGAGACACAGAAAACAGACCTAAACATGTAAGAGGCCCTACTTAATTAGGAACAACACAGGGGAAAAAAGAGAAAAAAGAAAGAAAAGACACACCGGCTGTTTTACATTTCTATTACCTTTGAGGCAAAGGTTTGCAGAGGTGAATTTAAATGGTCATGGGACTTCAGAAATAAAGACAAGTAGCCAACTATACATAATCAGCTGCTGTTGAAAATAGAATGATATGACATAGATACTATTGTGTGATTGTTGCAAAAAACAATTCAACAGATGGCCCATCACAAAAATAAGCAATTTCATTGTTCTTTTTAAGTGCCTTCTATTACTGTCCATGAATAATCAAAAGGCAGGCAGTCACTTCCAGCACAGTCAGCCTCTTCTAACCTTCAGGCACAAAACACGAATGAAAAATAAAAATGGGTAGGATGAGTGATACTGAGGAGGGGGAAGGGGAAACAAAAAAGGACTAAAAAATAAGCCATTAAGTAATATTTCTTTCAAGATCTTGATTTTAGCTTAACAAACTTGCTTTATAGCACCAAGAAATAAAAGGGAACAAACCACTCTGTACAAATGAAAAAAAATATGATAAATTTTCTGGAAAAAAAAAAAGGTCCTAGTTAAAACAGCAATTCATATTTCACAGGAGCTCACCAGCTGAGATCAGCAATCTTGATAAGTAAAACATCTTTCTGATGGTTGCACTTGATTCTCCTCCATTCCCTGTGGTTATTATACAGACACTTGTTGCATTTTGACTTACCAAAACAGACCCCAGTTCTGAGGAAATGAAGCAGTGGCAGCATGCAGACAGTTACACACGCATTGCACAGCAGAGGGACAGATTGCTATGCTCTCACCAGCCTGGATGTGCATGCTGTGATAGCAATACATCTACAGCAATGAACTTGTGCAATTTTTCCCCCTACCCTCACTCCCCCACCCTTCATGATTCCCCCATTTCTAAACGACCTTTCTGGGCAGAAACGAAAGGTAATTCAACACTAGAGACAGCAAAAGACTTAGGTTATATTTCTGACAGCTAATTTGGAAGCAGTAATGTTCATAATGAACTGTATATAAACACCACTTTCCTTTTTCCAAAGATTTCTTCTAATTTGTTCTATTGAATGCATTAATATAATTTTTTTTTCCTTTCTGAAACCCAAATTTTGCACAATCATTAACATACCCTTCAGACTGGCACATCTCTGACCACTAAGACCTGATATGCACTATTGTACTGTTATGTCTAATATATCAGTTTGAGAATCATTTGTCAGTAACATATTCCTTCTGATTACTAAAATTTAGGAACTTCCTCCATTCCTGAAAAACAAGGCACCCAAGAATCGGTATAGATGTGTATCTTGGGGTAACTGAATGTTTTTGTATCACAAAGCAAACCCAAAACACAAGTTTTAAAAATCCAATATGCAAATCATTTTGCTACAAACATTTTTGCTTTAAAAATACTCCAAAGTATAGAAAACAGAGACTGAAAAAATATCAATGCTCACACAAAACAGAACAGTAACATTCCCTTATTGAGAACTGTTATTTGACACAGAATTCTGATGTTTTCAACTCCATTATAAAAATCAACCAAAACAAAAAACTCTCTTGCAAGTTCTGTCAAAAAGCAAGAGCCATTTTGAGGACCAGGATGCAAATACGAGCTCTTTTTATCTAATACAGCTTGGGAAAGACAAAGAAATTTCTACAAGGTAAAGCAGGTAGAAGACAGTAACTTAAGGATTGCAATTTCTCATGTTTTTACAGTATACAGCATCCATTACAGCAGAGAATAAAAGCAAAGACTACAAATTACCAATATGGAGAACCTGCTAATGGAAGGAATGGCAAAATTTCATTAGCACTGAAGAGAAAACAGTTTTACGACCTAGTGCTGCTTTCCATTATGACTCATGCTAAATGAAAGAGAGAAAAAGGATGGAAAAAAGAGAAATACTAGTCTAATAGTTATTTTAAAAGTGTCAGTGCCTGAGACTGAGTCAGGCACTCACTGGCAATTCCATTCCATGTAATGAATGACAAACATAAGCATGTATTGTCAGCAATTAGTATTAGCACAAAAATATGAGCCCAATTTTTATTCGAGGTTTTTAATAGCATGCAGGTTAGTAGCAACTCCCTAAACTGGAGTTCACTTTAAGTCCAAATGGTACCAATGGCATATTAAGCCTAACACTGCATGATCACTCAGATTTCCTAGTAAAGATTCTGTTCTCATGATCACTACTAACTAACATAGGTTACAGTCCCACACCAAAATTAGCTTCTAATTACCTGTGCCTAGTTATTTGATAACCAAACAATTAACTAGTCTTTAGCCATTAGCCAACCTCTGTGTTCTGAAACATCAAAACTATCATTACAAATGGCTTCATTCTAGGGTTTTTCTTCAAAATCAGGATCAATTTTTAGAATGGCTCAAGACTTCTGTGACTAAAAAAAAAAAGACAACTTTAATATTTACAATAAACCATATGGCAATGATCAGTAAGAAGTAGCAACACTCTAATAACCTAAGAGTCTGTGGCTCAGGCAAGGGCTGACAAAATCCTGCTTCAAAATGGGCAAACACAGAAGCTTAGTGCCACCACTGAGGCCCTGACTATCACACAGGATTTTAAAAAAACCCCACGCATTTAAAACATAGTAATTTTTTTTTCAATACAACAATAGTTTGGAACAGAAAACTACTTTTACAAGAAGTACTGAAATATTTTACTACATCAATTAGTCAACTTTCCACTTCCTGGACAGTTCCCTAGGCTTTGCAAGATTCACTTCAGAGCACTTCTGCTCTGCTTTAACTCACTGCCAAAGAGGAAAGTGCAACCTAAGCAATGCTTTTGTCTTCTGAAGTTCTGCATTTGGTTTGCTCTGAAATATGAGCATTAACAATACTTTCTGCTGTCCCCACTTACCACGTCGCTCCTCCATCTCTCTGCTCTTAAGATGAACAAATTAATCATTTTAGCTTATTCTCCTTTTTTTGTCCAAGAGGTATCTGAAAACAACCTGAAGTGCTTAAAGCAAACCTCAAGTTTCTGATGTTGCCTCCACCCACAATTATTTTGCCAAAGCAATATAGGCCCAACCTCCCTTTCCACATCAAAACAGTCACTTTGCAAGTCAGAGCAGTACATGTTCTGAGTCCTCAGCTCTCTCCAGTTTCATTTTAATCTAGTAATTCTTTAACTACGAGTAAATCAGACTGCAGTGAAATCTAGCCATGATCTCCACTGGGGAAATGAGCTGCAGACATCCTGAATTAAATACAGCTCCTTATGATGAATGTTAATTGTGTCACCATGTGAGCTGCTCTTCTAGTCACTGCACTATGTCACGATTCCTTCAGCAGAAGGTTTCTTATGCTAAATTCAGTGCCTTCTGCAAAATTTCAGAAAGCTAGAACTCCTCTTCAGTAGGTAAAACCTTTGTGGCATTCCATGCTACAGAAAATCAGGCAAGAAACCCAGCTGGTCAGAAATCTGTGAATTTAGACAATTTGTGCACCCAGAACAAGTAGATTTAAAAAACTCACATATGAATGCAAAATCTTAGAATGCATTTTAAAGTATAGTTCTTGTATTAATTTCCCAACTGTGAGGCACCGACAAAACCAAGCGATTTTTACAGCTGAAGTCACTGATGTACCTCTATCAAGTCAGCAGGGGGAGCAGGCAAACAACCTGGGAACAAAAATTCCAGTCTCTTCCTTTAAAACGTGGAATCGTGACAGGCAGCTTGGGAACACAGCAACGCCGGGGCAGGAGAGCAGTATATATATTATATATATATTAAAAGAAAAGCAGGTATTTACAGTAACACGAGGTACAGCCTCTTTCTACTATTTGAGCATTTAGTGTCATGACAGTTAACACTTCCCTCTCCAAACCTTCCATTTCTCCGTAGCATAAATGCAACTGGATTTCGGTTTTGTATTCAAGTTCTGGAAGCCCAGCATTCACATCCACTACATAAAGCACAAATTAGAAGGTCAGACAGCAGCAATTGCAATCACACCACATGGTCTGAAGCCACAGATCAAAGGACTACCTACTCTTTGCTGAAAAATGCAAGAGTAACCTAAAACAAGAACAGGCACTACTTTAGAAAAATCCCTCTCATGGGAGCCTACCATAAAGCAGTTGTTTCCTTAGGTGTGCAGGCTTGTAAAATAATAGCTAGGAGATATAAATTGCTCCATCCATTTCAGATATGTGTTCATTCAACAGCGTAATACAATCTACAGTTAATAGGTTATTGTTTTACTATTGGTGATATGAGAACTAACACAGGCCTCTTCTTATCTTGCTCTGCATTTTCTCTCTGAAGTAAAAAGAAATCTCAGCTGATTAGAGCTGCTAAATAGCTCCAGCTTCTCTACTAACAACATTTGGATAAAGCAGTTTTACAGTTACGTTTGTGACATGCCCTTAAAACGAAATTCACAAGCTGTGTAAAATAAGTGAAATAATCAAGTTAGCTTGAGCAAAGATCATTTTATAACTTATTTGTAATTTTCACATTTAATTCAATAAGTTTCTTAAAATGTTAGTTGATAGAATCTGGCACTGTCATGCCAAAAACTCCTGTAACCCTAGGAAAGAATTTAGGTTGAATTTGACATCTTATTTACACATCTTTAATCAAGCTGAGATTATTTTGTTGCATTGTATGAACTACAGCAAAGACCAGGTATGCCAAGCCAGTGCCAGTCAGCACTGGACTGACTCAGTACAGGATGATGGTCCCTGCCCTGAAGTATTCATGAGCCTCCTGACAAACTCTAATACCAACCAGTATGACCAGTAGCTAGACTGGTAAGTGAAAGCACTGTAAGGGGACTTACACTGCCAACCTGCATGTTTCCTACTGTGGGGAAAAAAACAACTCACCATCTTCAGATGACTTCTACTCTTCAACTTCCACAGTTCACCACTGGCCAGTGATTCAAAGATTATATTAGCAGTAACAGGTGTCATATTTCAAGATCAAAAATCATTTTATGAAGTTTCCCTTGGAGCGAAGGAGCAATCTCTGACTTCTTACCTGAAATTCATCGAAACAAAGCAGAGCAGCCTCTCTGCTTATCTCCTCTGCCACTGGTGCAATTGGGTCATAGGATCTGGCCATAAATCCTGCTGTTCTTTTTGGCAAGTTCTGCTTAAGGCGATGTATTCCTCAGTTGACAAAACAAAAAAGAACAATTTTTTTTCTAAGATAGGAAGCACAAAATTATTTAGCTACCAAATAAAAAAAAGTAACCCAGTCCAGTAAAAATAAGAAAGCTTCAAATTTTGTCCAACTTCAAAAGGGGAAAACAGTTAAAAACAATTGTTAACAACAACTAAAAGCTCATAGACTCTGCAATTCATATCTTCTTGTTTTGACACATGTAAAACAAAACCCAAAGAACTCCCGAATGCTCTGCACCTATACCTTACCTTTTAAAAACTGATACAAATCACAGTTTTATCTTGCTCCAATTCATGATGTTAGTTTCCATTTCACTTTGTAATTTGGCATTTTCTGCCTTAATTTTCTCTCTGAGTATGAAAAGTCCTTATGGTGTTTATAAATCAGTGGCACAGCTCTGTGGATTGCATGCTCTGAAGGCATTCTTAGAATGCATTTAGAGCAACTCAGCTACATGTTAAAATGTGAAGATAATGATACTGGCACAAGGTGAGATTATTACATCCACACTTTATTGTCTCACAGATTGTATTCCATCTGACCACAAACAAACACAGGGAAAACAAAGATCCTGCAGGAAGAAGCTTTGTTAAGGTTAAGCACCAATGAAAAGAAATGGAAACAGAAAATCTCCAGAGGGACCCAAGGATGACAGAAAAGTGGGCACTAAAAGTGGCTGAAGTTGTTCACACTGATGAAAGACTCCCAAGAACAATGCAGCTGTCACAATACTTGTAAATTACTGCAATAGTTCACAATTTCAGAGTACTATAAGGTCACAGAATTTAGAAATAGAAACAAATTTTAAAATATCTAAAATAGCACCTCAGTCAAAACAAAGTGCTTTATTCACCCTGTCAGAAAATCTTCTGAAATTTAGGATGAACTTCTATTCTTTTTTTCCTCTAAATTACTGACAGTATTACTAAGACAGTTGACCAGAATAGTTCCCTTTCTCGTGGACATTTTTACCTTATTTAGCTACTGCTTATTCAAAATGCAGATAGAGTTTAACCTTTACAGTTTCAGTTTTAGTAATTGCCTTGTTCAGATTTCATCTAAGTTCACTGATAACTGGAAAACATTTCATCCCAAACAATACACCTAAGTTTCTATACAATCAGGTATAAATATTTCTCTTTCAAATGATATGCAATATAACACCTTTGCTGGTGCGACAGACAATGCTAAAATGCTTTAACTTTTCTCCTATTTTTTCCTCTTATTTTGCTTAAAAACTTACAGTGATTAACATGAATCTGAGAATGAGACAGACTCTATAGATACCATATTTCATATATTTCTTGTAAATACCTGTGTCTGCACTTACTCTGGTGTACATCCAGCATGAAGCCATGAAAATGGACTCTCTTTTTCCTTTCTACTTCTAAGTGAGAATAGAACATGTCCATCACCATTGTCTTTCCTGTACCTTCAAATGCAAACCACACAAAACACCCAATGGGTAGTTAATTTCATAACAGTATGTACTGATTACAATTGTTTGTTAGCTTTGAATTAATGAAACTATACTTATTCCACAGAATAAGAACAAGACCAGGCTGCTCTGAAGAACAGTTATGTTTTCTGTTCAAAAACTTGAACAACTGCATTTTTATTCGTTTTAAAATTTTGATCCATTTTGATCCAAGTGCATAACTTCATGTACATGGAGCAATTATATCAAATAACATGAAATTGTGGAAGAAAATTCATCCTGTCAAATTCATTAAAGCAATAAAGCTACAGAAATATAAAGCTGTTAGACACTTCAGAATTTGAGCAGGCATTGCATTCAGAGAAAATTTCACTGGATGCAACTGAAACTTACCAACATCTCCATAGACATAAAGCCCTTTTGGGGGTTTGTTTTTGGCAAAGAGCTGCAAATGAAGAGAACAAGAATAAATATGACTATGAGGTAAAGAAAAGCAAGCACACTGCTGTGATAAAGTGAGAAAGCAGCTACACTTAACCATGATAGCAGCATTAACTAGCAAAGTGTAACCTTGAATAAATCATTAGCTCAGAATTGGTAAGCAATCGTAGTGTTATACTTGTGCAAATTCCATACAAGAGGCAAAACACACAGGCAGGGTTTGGGGTTTATTGTTTTTTCAGCTCACTGTGACAGTATTCCCTCCCCAGCCCCAGCACACATGCCTTTTCATCCAAACACATGTGAAATGATGTCATGTTCCCCAATCCAGCACCACCAAAACAAACCCTTTCCCTCATTAAGCCATTTGAACAAACAGTCCTAGGAAAAAGGATATAAAATTAAGCAGTATTGTAGTATTCATAGGTATATGCACTATTAGAGCAGCTTTGCTGAAGACAAGCTATTAGGATTTAGAAAAGCAGTATTGCGAAGTCAGTGAGCATTGTAGGTCCCCAGCTTTGAATCTTAAAGGCAGAATCATCTCTGGTTTAAACATGATTAAAATCAATGGAGTCACAGTAAAAATATGTACCTGTATCCACATGCATGTGTGTGTATCTATATATAAACATATTTTAAAAAAGATATTTTCAAAGTGTGCCTTCTATTAACCATTTTCTCAAGTGAGTTATGCTTATCTGGAATGAATACTGCTTGAAAAATTTAAATTGCTTAATATTATTCAGGACATATGTTGTGATACCTGATGGTTTATTCTATTTTACTCAGATATATATTTTTATGGAAAAACTTCCAATAAGACATTGAATTTGAAACAATACTCCCCCAGTATTTGTGTGTAGCCACTTCCATGTAAAACGAAACAGTTTCTGAAAAAAAATGGAGAACTTAACAAAATTCTGATCAAATCCACAGAACTGAACTGGCATCCACAAAAACCACTGCAACAGAGTATTCAGCTGAAGTGCTCCAGTTTTGAGTTCTATGTGCTGAGCCAACACAGAGGAAAAGTAAGCCTGCAACCTTGTGGTCTCATTTCAGCTGGGCAATCACTAAAAAAATTGAATCTAAAGCACTTCTCAAAATACAGTGCCATGTTAAAGAAAGAAAGAAGTCAGGAGCGAAACACTAATTAAACATGTAATAAAACACATGACCAAAAGGCAAAAGGGCAACATCCCAGGTCTGTAGCACCAGTTCACTCAGGAAATATGCAAGGAAGTCTCTTATCTAAGACTCACCTTTAGATTGAATTTAGAGCTATATTCATAGGGTAATCAAAAATTTGTATCATCAGCCTGTGGCTGGACAAAGTTTCAGATGTTCTGAACCATTTCATTAATAGATATGGCTGCAACTATTTGCCTGTGCATTGAAAGCACTGCAAGACAATTAACTGTTGAGCATTTTTCAGTGTGTACTTTTCAAGAGCTTGCAACTCCATAAAAGGAGTGATGCTCAGAGTTACACAGCGAAGAAAGGGGAAAAAAAATCCAAATGAGAGACATCCTTAAATTTCTTTGGTTGTAATTTGATATTAACCACAGTCATTTTAACAAGGTGAAGGGCTATCACATGCCATTTTTTACACAAAAAGCCTCTATTAATGTGATTTGCACTTTCAGAAGGAAGGACACAAAGCTAGAAAAACAAATCACTGTGCAGTGTGGCTTTACCTGTCTCTGTAAAAGTTATATAATCAAAACAAGCAGTAATGCCTACCTTTTTTTACCTTTTTTTTCATCGCAAAGTGTTTACTAATTACATTTAACCATCTTGATACTTGTCTTCTTAGACATATTTATTTCTAGAAACATTTTACAGAAAAGGGGGCTTTTCTTTACTAAAGGAAACAAATATAAAGGCTTGGGCTCCATAAAAGTATAAATCACCTTCTGGTTGATTTAAAAATGTAATTAGTTTCCTTGTGAAGACAAGAAAAAAAAAAAAAAGATGGATACTGTGGCAGATCCAAACACATTTGCTGGAGCTGATCATTGCTAAAAGCAAGTCACACCTCAGAAAATCTCTTAACCTCTTAGAGCAATTACAGAAGTTTGTAAGAAATATTTTACTTCTGCCAGAAGTGACATCATTGACACCTTCAGGACATTCACTTCCTCAATCCTTTCAGGTGTTGTGTAATACTAAGAATTTATTTTTATATTCTTGGGTTGGTTTGGGGGACTTTTTTCCTTAACATATATTTTACTTTGATAAAGTAAACTCAATCAGTATATTTTACATATATTTTTATAAAATTTTAATACATATATTTTCATTAAATTGATTTTTCAACTATTTTTTTAATTGTTCTCATGTATCTTCTGAAGTGTCAAAGTTGGGTAAGAAAAAGAGAAACTTCCACTAGGATTTCTGACAAAGTCCCATCAATGTTCTTGATTCAATGTAGAGCTCAGCAGGCAGGCAGGAAAGCCAATGGAATGTGGGGACAAAAAGCAGAACACTGATGATGGTTCTATTCAAACACAAGCTCTGAGAGAAGGAGGGAGGAGATCTAATGTAGAAGATCCTCCAGTTACCCTAAAATAAGGGTAGTTTTGTTTATGTCAGGGAGGGAACAGAGAAAATAGGAGATGTAGAACAACAAACTAAATGAATGAGCTTCTTTCTCCTCATTTCCATATTATCCTGAGGTATATTTGGGGTCTCAGTATAATAATGTTCAATTTGTTGACAATAAGTTTTCCTTTGCACCAATGATAAGAGTTAAGGATGTTAAAGCTAATATTTAAAATTTACAAAACCAAAGATATTGAGTGATGCACTAAATTTAAGTTTGAAGGGGAGAACTTTGAAATGCTTAGATGGATGTATAAGGCTCCCACATCCTTCTGAATAAGGGTATCACCACCAACGTGTCAAACTGCTCGAGTTCTCCAAGCTCCTTAATTCCTACGACACTCTGCAATAACTTAAATGCTTCACTGAATTTCAGTATCACCAGGATATGCTCCAGCAGAAGGCTTTTTTTTCCCTTTTATAGACCAGTTGCCTTACAGATTTTAATTTGAACATTATTCATATCCTAAAACTATTCACTCTTCCACAAGATGACACACACTAGTGTCCCCAGATTTACAGAATTCTCTCCTGTGTTAGAAAAATGTTTCCACAGAACCACAGAATGGTTTGGCTTGGCAGGGACCTTAAAGACCATCTAGTTCCAACCCTCTGTCACGGGCAGGGGCACTTTCCACTAGACCAGGTTGCTCAAATCTCCATTTTACACATTTGTTTCCAAACTGCATGACTTGCTTTGATCCTATCACATCAGATTCTTCTTTTTTGATTAAACTTCATTTTCAGTCAATCAATACCCTGTCTCATCTAAGGAAGTATATTGGTCAAAACATCTCCTTCATTCTGACAACTTCACATTCTTTCTTATATATCTTTAGTAACATCCAACATCTTCCCACCCTCTCCCATGCTCAGACACCAGAAACAGCCAGCTCATTTCCTGGGAATACTTACACTCTGATTTGAAAAACTTTTAAGTAAAAATGCATCTCAACACTAAGATGGCCAATTAAAATATGCAAAATTCAAGAGACAAGTCTCCCAGCACAGATATTTCGTTTTTAAGCACTAACAAAACTGCCTCTCATCCCAGACTTTCAGGCCTCCATTTTGGTAGCTGTTGTAGCTGAGGACATTTTCAAGATTTTGAATGGTGTTTACTATTGTTCATACCTCTTTTCAAAAACATGACCTCGCTTACAACTGAGCTTATTTCAAGTCATTAGCACAGCAACTCAACAACTCTTAAGATGCCCCAATTGGTACTATTTTGAAAAGACAGATATCTGAAACATCTATGCAAACTGAATTCAGAGGATCTCAAAATATCTCAACACACAAAGCCATGCTTTCACCAAGTTGAAGATCAAAGCCCTCGTTCAAATTTGAGTAACCATTTTGAAAAACAGAAGCCTGTTTGGTTGGCAGCAAGACTAATTGTTTTTTTCCCTGAAATTCATTCTAAGCTGATGCCCCAAAAAAACCTACATCATAACAAAATATGGAGAATTCCATTATCGTGGAAGAAATATCTGGTGTCATGGTGTGTCTGCGCGTGTGTCCCCCCAGACTACTCATTTCAGAAAGCTTTGGCCTGTCAGGTAATACAAGTCTCTTAGATAAACACTGAAATGCTTCTATTGTATCTGATACTGATATTTGCACCCTAATCCTACCTTTACCTTATTTTAGTGAATAAAACTATTTATTTTAAAAGTGACAAATTAAGACCAAACCAAAAACAAACAGGGCCGTTCTTGTAATGGTTCACATGTGCCAGAAGATTCTGTTGCTGGAATAACTGCTACTTCAGAAGAAACTTCTGCAATTCTATCACAGAAGAAATCAGGCAATAAAATAAGGAATATCAGACTACAGAAGAGGCTAATAGAGAGAGGCTTCTCTTCCACCCCCAACTTTTTTTCACAGAAGCCTCTCAATCACATTCTCTTCAATGACAGATCCGGGAAAATTGAGAATGTTTGAAATGCCAAGCACCAGGTTTTTTTATTTCTAAAAAACTGCCACTAGATAAATCTCTTTTCAATACAGTTTCCTACTAAAGGTAGGCCAGTCAAGTCGTTAGAACCCTCCTGAAAAAGCAAAAGGTCATCTACAAAATACTAAGCATAACTGCTGAAGTGTCTGATTTTTTTGAAAATGTATCAATTTGTTCCATTTACATTTATTAAAACCCATTAAGTATGAAACAGAAAGAAAACCCAATTGTTTTATCACAAAAACATAAGGTTTATCTTTCCCTTCCTAGCACATTCAAAGTTGCAAAGTTCCAGGCCTTCACGAGAGGAGAGAGCCAATGAGGTTCTCACAAATACAGGATTTACCCGTGCCCTGTATCATTAGTACTTCCTAGAGATGCCTTCTACAAAACTACTTACACTCATAAACCTACATAACTCCTACATAACCCAGGCCAACTTCCTATTCAGGATTCTTCGCAACAAAAAAGAGCTCCTTCCTAGGTGTCTAGTTTGCCTCCTTCCATCAACAAATGGAAGGGTCATAAGCTGAGACAGGGGAGATTCAGATGTTAGGAAAAATGTTTTCCCTGTTAGGGTGTTCAGGCACTGGAATAGATTGCCCAGGGAGGTGGTGGAGTCACCACCCCTACAGCTTCCTAGGGGCAGGAAAGTGTCCGTCCAGAGCACACAGGGAAAGTGAAGATGATGATGGCAATGTGTATTTTGTCATGTTTTTTTCCCCCCAGAACTATACTTTTATTATCAGACTGAGTCAAACACGCTGTTCTTGTTGTCTTCCCTCACCATAGCTTATGGCTGTTTCTGCTGACTGAGGTATGTTAATCAGGCACAAATGAAGCACATTCCACTGGTTGTTCAGCTTCTGTGCACATCTATGATTGCCTAATATTTACCCAGTAATTAAATGTCTTATCTGCTTTTCTGGGTGCTGTTTGGTTTTCTGGGATGTAAACTCAAATCTACAAAACAAGAGGCAAGGAAAGCTGAGGAGGAAATCTCACACCAGTTCTACTGCTTCCCATGAGGACCTGCCAAACAATACTATCAGTATTTGCAGGTGCAAGGCCACAAGAGCAACATTCTGAGAATAACAGCATGAAAGCAAGACATGGAAAATACTGCCAAAGAGACTCTAAAAAACATTGTGCCAAGAGCTTCAGGGAAAGGTTATAGAGATGCAACAGCAGGCTAATAGCATTACTAATGCTAAAGCAACTATGCAACAGGGATACATCTGAATTTCTGCCAATCCTTTGAAAAAAGCTGTGATGACCCAAAAAACATAAACAAGGGTGCAGATCACACCTCTGTCTACTTTCCTTACCTCACCTGGCAACTAACAACATGGGAAAGAATTTTCTTAAAAAGTAACTTCTGATGAATATTATAATGTGGAATTACTTGTGGAAGATCTCTTTGAATACAGACAGTATATATAATATTCAATGCAAACACACATGTATAACACCAGTGCTTTGACCTCATGGTTCTCTACAACTACCTGACAGAGGGTTGTAGAGAGGTGGGGGATGGTCTGTTCTGCCATGGCTGCAGGGAGAGGACTAAGCTGTCATAAGCTGAGACAAGGGAAATTCAGACCAGATGACATGTTCCTTGTTGGGGTGTCCAGGCACTGGAATACATTGCCCAGGTAGGTGGTGGAGTCACCATCCCTGGACGTGTTTAAGAGGCATCTGGATCTGATGCTGGAGAATATAGCTTAGGGATTACAGCAGTGACAGGTTAATGGTTGGACTTGACAATCTTAGAGATCTCCTCCAACCTTGACAATTCTGTGCTTGAGAATTAAGACCTGGTTTAGTCACCTCTCTCCTACAGGCAAATGACATTTCTGAAAGGCAGGCAGAGTACATAACTAAAACCATATCAGATTTTCATACAGTATTATTTCAATAATATTTAATTTGGTACTTCTGCAATGCCACTGGATTTTACAAACCAAAAGAGAAAGAACAGAACATGAAGAGTGATCTATCTGTAAAGGCCCAGCTGCAAAAATAAGACTTGTCTTAATGACAGAACTTTCTTTATATTTTGAGCACATTCTTATGAGCAAATATAAATGCAAAAAAATTTTATCATTGTAAGTCTCACCTTTGAGAAAAGACTTTTTGAACCAATGCTGTAGCCTTTAAGGCTGTCGTGCAACTTCTGCAGGTGCTGCACAACTCTTCTTTGTTGCTCATCATTCTTCAGCCCTTCGTGCTTAATCAGAAAGTCATAATGCTCTAAAGGTCCATTGCAAGCCAGTAAGGCTCTGGCATTAGCTTCTGTAGGAGTGCCAGAGCCTGTCTTCTCCTCTGCCTGAGCTGTGTATGCTGGAAAAATAAAAGTTGCCAATGAGTAGAGAAGTTTTGAAAAGCATCACCTGATAAACAACACATATTCTTAACAGTTTATGTAAAAGACATATATATATTACCTACCTATACAACCACTAGAGTATGTTACCCTTTTATTTTTCATTAACTTCTAACTTGACTCTAGGAGTATGTTTTAACATTTATTTTTAACAAGCTGACACGCTAAGAAGCCCAGCTGGAGAGCTGGAAAGATTAGAATGAGCAAGAGAAGTTTAGACCTTTTATTGGGGTAAAATCATTTAACAATTCCAAAGGGCATTTCTCTGAATAGATAATCCTTTAGCTAATGCTTTAGAAACTATTTAAAAATCAGCAAACAGGAGACCAAACCAGGAGTTCTGGAAGGAAGGTGAAAGAGAGAAACACCACACTATGCAAGGCAATAACTGTGGAGCTCTGCAATTAAAGCATTAATATGAGATTTGCAATTAAAGCATTAATATGAGAAACAATGCCATACACTGAAAAGTGGTTTAGTATATTCTTTGCTTCCACTGTTATTTGAAAGGTTAAGCATAATAAAGAAAAATACCATTTGTTGCAATGATAAAAGGAATAGATCTGAGTAGGGGAAATGTATATCAAAGACTACATAATTATGTATTTTTAACACTGTGAGATTCCTAAAATCATCCCTAAAATCTTTAGGTAAGTTTCTAAGCAACACAATGGCCTCTAACAGCTTTCTCCAAAGCCTCACTTACAGGCAGGTAAGGTTCCAAAATACAAGGAAAATGAAAAGTTGTCTCTAAAAAGGAGAGAAAGGTAGATCCAGAAATTCATAGGTTAGTCAACACAACTTCAGGACACTCAAAAATACTGGAAAAAGTACAAGCAGGTGTTTTGTTGGGGTTTTTTTAATACAGCACTTAACAAAATAACATCATAAATAAAAGGCACCATCAGCTCCTCAGGAACAATACAAGGTAAACAAGTTTTCCTCTCTGACAAAGCAGCATGCTTAGTGGGTAGAGGAAAAACATCTCAACTGCACTTTTGTCACATAACATTCTCATCTATAAAGTAGGAAGGCTGCAAAGGAAAGTACTTTTAAGCAGGTACAAAACAGCTGGGAAAACAGTAGGTAACGAATAATTACTACAGTTAAACTTGGTTTATCTGCAGCAGAGTTTCAGAGAGGGCTCAGGACCTCATCTTGGTCCAACCAGAATTTACATCCATGACCCAAATATGCCAAAATAAAGTACCTGGCCTGGGAACACAGATAACAGCAAATCAGGAGAGGGCTGCAAACACCCAGGAAGGCAAGGCAGTTCTGACAAACTGGACAAATAATCTAAGACAAACAGGATGCAATGCAACAGGGACAAGGTATGAGTATTGTTAGAGGAAATAAATAACTGAAGAGATGGAGAATGACCAGCTAGAGAGCAGTTTTGCCAAAAAGGAGCCAGGGGCTCCATTGGATCACAAAATGACAGAGAGGCAATAGCATAATGCTATTAGAGGAAAAAATAAAATAAAAATAAAATAAATGCAAGTACTCCAATAAAAGCACACACAAAAACAATCCTATTCTATTCAGTACTGGTGTTGTCTGCCTGGAATTCAATTCTCACATCATATGTTATGAGAACTATGAACCAAATGGGAGAGCAGATGATTTAAAGGACAGTTTTAAACCATGGGTCACAACCCACAAAGAACCCCAACGAGGTATGAATTTTAAATAGTTCTAAGAAACATAAATTGAATACAGTTATAAAAGAGAAGGAGAAAACTGAACAACCAGATCAACTTATCATTATTTATTGCAAGTACCACCTTAGTTTCTCCATAGCAAGACAGTCACTGTTTACATCTGCAGCCAATAATTACAGCAAATGCTCCTGTCCTGAAGGAACTGAGTTACTGGTTGGAATTAAAAGTAATTAGCTCATTGCTAGCTAAAGAGATCACATAAATAAAGTGGAGTTCAAAGCCTGTTATTTCAAAAATTTGAGGAAAACCTTTAGAGAAGAAAAACACATATCTATCTCCAGATACAGGGGCCTAAAGAATGAAAGGAAATGGTATTTATACATATATCTTAATAGCTGTAATTAAGGCAATGAAACACATTAATAGTTTAGAAGCTGTAAAACTTCCACCGATGGGGGGCTAGTTTGAAAAATAAGCTTGATGAAAATCTCTTAGGAACAGGTCAGCAAAACCTGACCCAGCTCTAAAGGGAAGGGGAAAAGGCACAGACCACAGAATCACAGACTGCCCTGGGTTAGAAGGGACCTTAAAGATGACTTAGCTCCAGCACCTTCCACTAGACCAGGTTGCTCAGATGATCCCTCAAAAGTTTTTTCATCTTGTTTTCAACCATTCCACTCCCACATCAACCCCAGTCCTGTGATCTGCACTTCTAATTATCCATGCCTTTGAAACACGTGGAAGCTGATGGCTCCAAGAGCTCCAATGTGTCCTATTATACCTATAAAGCCATGAGTTCTACAGCTTACCACAAGATTGGAGGAAAAAAAGATGGGGGGAAAAAAGCTGACTTAGGGGTAAGAAAGAGTTTGTGGCTCATGACCCTTCCTGGCCATGCACAGAGCACATCAGTGGCATGGCCTTTGCCTCAGATTACATGTACTCACAGTTAACCATCCTGGGAGTGGAAGAAAATACTCTGTCACTAACAGATGACAGAAATGGAGCGTATGCTCAGGTGGTGACAGAGGGTGTCCTGACACAAGGTGCTCACTGTTCTCCTGAAATAATATTGAGCACTGGGATTCAAATACAATGAGGGGACACTGTTGTGCACTACCAGGAGACACCCAGTAACTGGTTAAGTGATGAACTCAAACTTGTAGCTGCAAAATAAAGGCAGATGCGACTAAAAAGCAAGCAGGGGTTGTAGACACAAGTCAATGGAAATGCAAAACTATTTCAAGAAAGACAAAAAAGTGGGTCTTCTAACCTGCATTTTGTGGGAATATATTGCAAAATCATTCACCCAATTACGTATCTACACTACTCTTTTCCCGAACTGATAAAGAAAAGGAAGCTTTAGAAAATTTAATAGCTAGCAGAGGAATACAATGAAATTACCTTCCATAATTTTACATCAAGGAAGCTACTGTTAGAATAGGAATGACCTGTGATTCAGTGCACTAACTGTAGTCCTACAGCCCTCTCCTCCACAGTGCAAAAGTTGAGTTTTCATTGATCTCTTCCTGTTTCATTATCTAACCTTTGTATTACATACACTGTTGCTCAATTTTTATTTGCTCCCTTCTGAATTCCTTGAAGTGTCACACAAATGAAAAGCATCTTGCATCTCTATGTAATGTTCTAGATACAACTGTAGAAAAGCACAGCATCAGTTCACTACTCACCTAGTTTTACATAAAAAACTAGATGTGTATTTATCCATAACCTATCTTTCCCACCGTCAGGGTGCAGGACAGTGTGTTACCACCACATTTAGCTTGACATTCCCTGCTTCTTGAGAGTTGACACCAAAAAGATTAATGACAAGAATGGGAAGAGGAGGTCATCAGAAAAAAATTATTTACTTTGCAATGCTTAATAGAAAGCTTAAAAAGCAAAGTTCAACCAACCATATTGGGGAGGGGAGGTTACCTGCAGGAATTGAAAATGTTAGGCCAGTAGTGTGTAAAAGACATTACTAAAACACCCACACTTGCTGAAATGAGCAGTTCAAATCAGCAGAAGCATTTTGCAGACAAGACATAAGGATAAGGATTTGGACTGTCCTCCCACATTTGTCCTTAGATGACCTTAGATGAATTACTAAAGCCTTCCTGCACTCCATTCATTCGGGCAGCATATTAAGCAGTATTTAAGCTTCTAGAGAAACACGTGAGTTGGAACTACAATTCTGCTTTGGCACACATGCCTGTGACATTATTCTGAAAGAGTTACTTGTGTTTTTTCCATGCACACCTAGAATCACAAAATCATCAAGGTTGGAGGAGACATCTAAGATCATCAAGTCCAACCATTAACCTGCTACTCTGCTGGAATCCCTAAACCACATCCTCCAGCATCATATACAGATGCCTCTTAAACACTTCCAGGGATGGCGATTCCACCATCTCCCAAGACAACCTATTCCTGCGCCTGAACACCCTAACAGG